TGCACTGCTTCTGAGTCTGAAGAAGGCAAAGGCGCTGGCCCTGGCTGTCTGCGGTGAAGTCTACCCCTAAACTCCCAACAACGACCCGCGCCCCGCCCCAACCCCAAACCCTAAACCCTAAACCCTAAACCCTAAACCCTAAACCCTAAACCCTCGACACCTTCGCCGTGAGCACTGCTTCTGAGTCTGAAGAAGGCAAAGGCGCTGGCCCTGGCTGTCTGCGGTGAAGTGCGAAGTCTTCAAACCAACAGGCGAGAAATTCGTCTTGAGGTCTTTGCCTGTAGAGCTGCAGCATTTGCCGCACGATGCAGGGGTGCTGCGCGCAAACCCTAAACCCTAAACCCTAAACCCTAAACCCTAAACCCTAAACCCCAAACCCTGGAGGCGGCTGCAGCGGGAGAGGGGCTTCCAGCTGATCGCGGAGTGCAGACGCGGCAACTCGATACCGAAAAAAATGCTGCCGCAGCCTGCACCCTCCGCAATTAGGGTTTAGGGTTTAGGGTTTAGGGTTTAGGGTTTGGAGGGAGCTGCTCCGCACGTTAAACAAGTGCCAGTAGAATGGTGGCGGCCGCCAGCTGCCGTGCTGGGATCTGTCCTGCAGCAGCTTCCCTGCAAACAGCAGCAAACCCTAAACCCTAAACCCTAAACCCTAAACCCTGAACCCTTGACAAAGCTAGAACCCAAGCACATAAGAAACCACTGCGGCCTAGGGTTTAGGGTTTAGGGTTTAGGGTTTGAGCGCCCCACTTGACACGTGAGAATTGTATTTGGTCGCAAGCAGCTCGCACAGCGCAGCGACGAGCTGCAAACAGAAACCCTAAACCCTAAACCCTAAACCCTAAACCCTTAACACCCTTAACACTTAAGTCTGAAAGTACCCTGCCCACTAAGAATGGCGCGCAAAGATCCGTGATGCAGCAGCAAGCAGCAGCAAGCAGCAGCAGCAAGCAGCAGCAGCAAGCAGCAGCAGCAAGCAGCAGCAACAAGCAGGAGCAGCAAGCAGCAGCAGCAAACAGCAATATCTGCAACCGGGCTGAGTTCCAGCAGCAGCAGGCCCAGCAGCATCAACAGCAGCAGCAGCAGCAGCAGCAGCTGCTGCTGCAGCAGCAGCAGTTCGCCCGCATACAATGCTGTCAGCGGAAGCCTGTTCGAAGTTTTTGGTGCTGCTGCTGCTGCTGCTGCTGCTGTCGAGCAGCAGCTGCTCGTGCTCCTGCAGCAGCTCGCGCTGCCGCTGCTGCGCTGCTGCTGCTGCTGCTCCCTGGGGGCCCCCGGGGGGCCCCCCTGTACCCCCGGGGGGCCCCCCTTGCTGCTGCTCCCCTTCGGGCAGCAGCAGCAGCTCAGTAACTCTTGCTGCTACTTGCGCCATCCACGCATATCCTTCATAGTTGCTCGCCAGCAGCGTGCACGCTTCCTGCAAACCCTAAACCCTAAACCCTAAACCCTAAACCCTAAACCCTAAACCCTAAACCCTAAACCCTAAGCCCTTGACCCTGAACCCTGAACCCTCGCTGGCGGCGGTCCGGGCGCTCCAGGGCGAATCTGCGGCTGGCTGCCAAGTAGAGCTGAGGGTTTAGGGTTTAGGGTTTGGGGTTTAGGGTTTGAGTTGGGGTTTAGGGTTTAGGGTTTGGGGTTTAGGGTTTAGGGCGTACGTTGTTTATGCGACGGATTGCTGCAAATTCGTCTAGGACTTCCATTTGCTGCTGCCGCTGCAGCTGGCTGAGCCGCTGCTGCAGCTGCTGCTGCTGCTCCTGCAGCTGCTGCAGTTCTTGCTGCTTCTCCTGCAGCAGCTGCTGCTGCTGCTGCTCCCCCACATCCACCGGCGCAGCAGCTGCAGCCGCGACGCTTTGCTGCTGCTGCTGCTGCTGCTGCGCAGTAGCTTGATGGAGCTGCCGCAGGGTGGCCTGGACTTGCTGCAGCCGCTGCTGGAGCTGCTGCTGCTGCTGCTGCAGCTGCTGCTGCTGCTGCTGCAGCTGCTGCTGCTGCTGCTGCTTGCGCTGCTGGTAAAGAGAATATTTGTAGCTGCTGAATTTCTTAAGGTGCTCGAAAACACCTTCATCCATAATTGCATCCACTGCGGTGATGGCGGTGTGGGACTCTGCGCACAAACCCTAAACCCTAAACCCTAAACCCTAAACCCTAAACCCTAAACCCTAATCCTCAAACCATCGCAGGCACAAAGAGCTGCGTTCGCTGTCGAGTTGAAAGAGTTGTGCTAGGGTTTGAGGGTTTAGCCCTTACATGGAGCATAGGGCTTGAACAAGGGTTTAGGGTTTAGAAAGGGTTTAGGGTCTAGAGAGGGTTTAGGGTTTAGGGTTATCTCTAGAAAGAGGGTTTTAGGCTAGGAGAAGAATTTGGGTTTAAAGACGGTTTAGGGTTTAGAGCGAGGGTTTAGGGTTTGGAAAGGGTTTAGAGCGAGGGTTTAGGGTTTGGAAAGGGTTTAGAGCTTAGCTTTCAGGAGTTCTAGGGTTTGGAGAGGGTTTGGAGTTTAGAAAGGGTTTAGGGTTTAGAGAGGGTTTAAAAGCACGGGGGGCTCTATGGCCTAGTGAGGGTTTAAGCCTTAGAGAGAGGGGCTTAGAGAGGCTTTAGGGTTTAGAGAGGGTTTAGGGTTTAGGGTTTAGGGTTTAGGGTTTGGCTTGCCCTGAAACTCCCGCTCCGTGCAGGCCCTAACCTGCAGCATTTGCTGCTCCTCAGTGGCCCCCACAGGGACTGAGGGGGTTTCGGGTGGAGACCCCATGGCTGCTGCTGCTGCTGCTGCTGCTGCTGCTGCTGCTGCTGCTGCTGCTGCTGCTGCTGTTGCTGCTGCTGCTGCTTACGGAAGACAGGCCCTAACTAGGGGCCTGCGCTGGTAGGTGTACATACACCCTAAAGACCATTCGCGCAAGGCGTCTGGAGCGAGGGTTTAGGGTCTAGGGTTTAGGGTTTAGGGTTTAGGGTTTAGGGTTTAGGGTTTAGGGTCTGGCGCTGTGTAGCGCTGGGCTGCAGGGGCCCGCTACCCGGGCCTAAACCCTCAAGCATTTAGCGTTTAGGGTTTACTGAAGCCTTCGGAGTGCCAGCCTGAAATAGGGTTTGAAAACCTAGCTGCGAGAAAAGCTCAAAACACGAATTAGGGTTTAGGGTCTAGGGTTTAGGGTTTAGGGTTTAGCCGCCGTGGCCACGCGGCCCCTTGGGGGCCCCACGAGGGTCTGCTGCTCTGCAGCAGAGGAAACTTCTTCCGACAGCCTTTAGCTGCTGCTTTACGGATTTTTTCGTGTCTTAGGGTTTAGGGTTTAGGGTTTAGGGTTTAGGCTTCAGCGTTTTGGGTGTGGCTCGGCGCAGCAGTGGGCAGCAGCCGAAACCGGGGCTGGCAGGCGAACAGAAACTAGGGTTTAGGGTTTAGGGTTTGGAGCCTACAGATTTGATCTGTACAGGGCCGCAGTTATATAAGCTGGCTGCTGCTGCTGCTGTCGTTGCTGCTATTGCTGCTGCTGCTGCTGTTGCTGCTGCTGCTGCTGTTGCTGCTGCTGCTGCTGCTGCTAGCTAGAGCTGTGCCGCTTGAGGCGTCCTGTGTGGCCAGGCAGCTGGGATCGGGTTTAGTGTAGAAGGAGACAACAATTTAGGGTTTAGGGTTTAGGGTTTGGGGTTTAGGGCTGCAAAAGCCGCGGCAGGTACCCAAGCCTCGCCATTGCTGCCTGCCCAGCCGCAGCAGCAGCAAGAGAAGCAGCAACAGCAGCAGCACCTGCAGCAACAGCAGCAGCTGCAGCAGCAGAGCAGCAACAGCAGCAGCAGCAACAGCAGCAGCAGCAGCAGCAACAGCAGCAGCAGCAACAGCAGCAGCAGCAACAGCAGCAACAGCAGCCTCTTCGAAACCCTAATTTGCCTTACGAAGCTTCTAGCTCAAAGCCCATACCCTAAGCCCTAGGCGGCCTGCCCTTCGTCTAAACCCTAAACCCTAAACCCTAAACCCTAAACCCTAGAAGTCGGAGTTCGCCGTCGAAGCAGCGGCAGCAGTTGCTGTGGTCACTTGCGCAGCATCGTGGGCAGCAGTAACTGCTGCTGCTGCTGCTGCTGCTGCTGCAGTGGCGGCTAAGGGTGGTGGCCAAGTGCTGCTTTGAGAATAGCCTTTTCTGCTGCTGCTGCTGCTGCTGCTGCTGCAGTGGCGGCTAAGGGTAGTGGCCAAGTGCTGCTTTGATAATAGCCTTTTCTGCTGCTGCTGCTGCTGCTGCTGCTGCTGCTGCTGCTGCAGTGGCGGCTAAGGGTGGTGGCCAAGTGCTGCTTTGAGAATAGCCTTTTCTGCTGCTGCTTCTGCTGCCATTTGCTGCTGCTGCGAGGTGGACATACACCACAAGTGGATGCTGCTGTCGCCTTCAAATGCTGCAGCACAAACCCCCACATCCCAGTCCGGATGGACTGCAACAACTCCCCGCTGCTGCTGCTGCTGCTGCCAGCTGCTGCTGCAGCAGGGGCGCAGCAGCAGCTGCTCGAGGTCGCCTGTTGCTGCTGCGAAGCAGCAGCAGCAGCCGATAGCAGCAGGCAGCAGCACGCGGTCCCTCCAAAACGCTCCGCAGGGCAGCAGCTGGTCCCATACATTTGTTGCTGCTGGTCTTGCTGCTGCTGAAGTTGCTGCTGCTGCTGCAGCATTTGCTGCTGCAGGAGCTGCTGCTGCTGCTCCGGGGACGTCGGGCAGCCCGTCACTAGAAGCATTCTGCTGCTGCTGCTGCTGCAGTTGCTGCGGCTGCTTCTCAGGTGCAGAGCCGGAAGCAGCAGTTGCTGCTGCTGCTGCTGCTGCTGCGTGCTGCAGCAGCAGCTGCTGCTGCTGCTCGCAAACCCTGCGGGCCGCGGGTGTGGGCTCGGGGCAAAAGATATCTACAAAGGGTTTCTCAATAGCCCTCCAGTCAATTGCTTCCTGCTGCTGCTGCTGCTGCTGCTGCTGCTCTGCTGCTGCTGCTGCTGAAGAGAAGTCCTGCTGCAGCAGCTGCTGCTGCTGCTGGCCGTCGCCGAAAAGCGAAGCAGCTGCAGAGTCT